AATACAACCTTATAGAAGCAAAAATCCGACACCATTTTAGGTTCCTTAATCTTCGATATAAGCACAACAATCGTGGGGTTTAACTCCCGAACCGAAGATCCACCATTCAACACATATTTAGACACACTTTCGTCAAGTACGCACCCAACAAGTGTTATTTTGATAAAGAGGGTCCTACAAATCTCCAATGCTGAAAAAGGCTCATCCAACCTACTCCTCATCTCCACCGGTAAAACATTGTCCAGCGACTGAGTTACCAACTCAATATCTGCATCTGTAGGTGCTATGGAGGAGAAAATCCCTTAAAAATAGGCTTCCGCTCCCCCCACTATCTCTTCTTCATCAGTTACCCATTTCACATCTTCTAACTCAAGACCTCAGATCATATTTTCCCTTTGCCGTTGAGAGGCTTTTTGATGGAAAAACTTGGTATTCTTGTCTCCCCCTTTTAGCCAATCAACCTTTGATCTCTAGCACCAATAATATTCCTCCAAAGCCAATAATTGGTCATGTTCAATCTCTTGTCCTCGAAGTCTACTTCTATTAAATCCCAGTCGAGCAGTATTTCGGATCCTTTCAATTTTGGCTTGAATCTCTCTCACCCGTTTGGGTATACGCCAAATTTTACATCACTCGAGCTTCACAGATCTTTTGCGCACTTACGGAGTCGGGTATTAAATTGCACACAATCTCCCTCAATCGAAGGACTCTCCCATGATTCCTGAAGAACATCCTGAAAGCTCTTCTCAGACATCCAAAGTGGTTCAAAGAGGAACCATCTCCTTTTTTTAGGACCTCTTCTCCTTTAAAGTCTATCGCGAATCACCTCTAACCACACCACTCTGATCAGATCCATAAAAATCCAGGTTGCGAACTCCATAGCGTGGAAATATGTCAATCCATTTGTCACATCCCAAAAACCCGTCTAGTCGTTCTCGAATGTGATCAGTGCCTTCCATACCATTGTCCTAAGTTAGCTTATGACCATCATAACCCAGATCCGCAAGCCGACAAGTCTCCACCACCTCCCAAAATTGTTCCATACAAGAATTGAAATTCTCGTGTCCACCCTCTTTTTTAGAAGGGAAAAAAAATTGCATCAAAATCATCGGTGACGATCCAAGGGAGATCAAATAGCAATTTCAGTCAGTATAAAAGCGTCCACGAGTGGTGTCTTTCACATCTCTCTGGATTACCATAAAACCCCGTGAACCACCACCAACTCCCTTGATCACACAGAACAAGACACTCAATATGATACCACCAGGAGTAATTTTTAATATGCACCTGAATATTCTCATTCCACGTAAGCATTGAACCACCATTCCTTCCTATATAGTCAACATTAAATCCATTATCAAAGCCGATCCTTCGCTTCTCCACCCCCGCCACCTCGGAACACAACCTAGTTTCCACGTCTCGGATTAAAATCTGAATTTTGTCGAGCGCACGAGGATTCCCCAAACTCCGCACATTCCAAATAACAATACTCATAACGTCCGGCAGGTTTGCTCCGTAACCTTCACCGATATCGCAAGGTTTGTGACTTCACCAAGCATATTTCTTTTATTAGTAACCACCACTCTCTCTTTATCTTCTAAACCACTCGATACCTTTCTCTTCCCCACTCCACCATTCTCCCTAGGAGAAACTACCCCCGCTCTTTTGCCATTCTGATCAGCTCCACAATCGGAAAGTCTCGAACCACCACGCCCCACCTTTGGTGCTTTCAACCAGCTACCATAGGGGAGGAGAGATACGTCAGACACCTTCGCAATCCCCTCCACCAAGCAATCACGCACTCCATGACCAAACCTTCTGTAATCATAGCAGAAATCTGGCATCTTCTCATATTTCAGATCAATCCATACCATATTTTCATTCTTTCCAAGATGGACTTAAAAGAAATCATATTTCAGCTCACAAGTTTTGTTACATCAAGAATCACACACACCCTCACAAATTCCCCCAAACATTGACCCTTCTCATCATTTTCGACCGCAACTGTTTGGCCTACATCACCAACACTCACCAACCTCCACAAACGACCATCAATGGGGAGATTATGAATCTGAATCCATAATTTTGTATAGCAAAATCCTCACTTTCAGCCATATCCCCAATCTCAATCGGCTTCAACACCACAAGAGCCCTATCAAAATTCCAAGGCTCTAAATCCAAAACTTTCTTCCCGTCCCTTTCATTGGCAAAGGAAACAAAGAAGATGTCTTTCGCAACCTCTCTCGATTCCACGTCCTTTACCCTTCAAATATCAATCATAGTGGATTGGAAGAAACATCTATTGTACGGTTTGGCCGACAATAATTTCCCTAACAATCCACACTTCATCGCCCTCCTCCCTACCTCAAGCACAACATCATCAATCCCTGCAATCTCTTCATCCTCCTCAGCAATAGATAAACTTCTCCACCAATTAGTAATATCCTTCACGGACACACAAAAGACAGACAGAAAATTGGCTCTGGAAAAGCAAACACGGGATCTTTTACACTAGAGTGAGTGCCGCTTCTCATGTTCCCAGGATTAGTCAGACTAGAGCAAAATGGAGAGATTATTATCGTATTCAACTGACCAATATTGATGGAGTTGTATTGAACTACATTGATATACACAATACTACCGGAACCTACTAGGATAATCATAGGCTTGCATTATTTATCTTAAACCAAAAATATTTTTTATTTTATTTTATTTTATTTTTTATTTTTTATGACTACTTGTCATCCTTCCTTCAGGAAAAAAAATTGATTTTCCTCTTTTTGCACTTCATTAATGTCTGTCATTTATGAGGAACTACTAAATACAATATGTAGTTGTCATTTGCTAAGGTTAAGCTTGCTTGGGAAGACCCCACTATCTGGCTTTTGCACTACCGCGTAGGGGTGTACAAATAACCGGCACGTCGACGAAACCGATCGGTATCGACCAATACCAACCGAAAAAAAGTTACCAGGAGCGATTTCTGACGTCGTCGGTCGGTAAATCGAACCATACATCTTTGATGGCATCAGTGAACAGTTTTAGATATTGCATGTCGGTCGGTTAACGGAAAACTGACTTTTTTTTTTCTCCTTTATCTTCCCCAACTCCGGCGATCCTGGACCTTCGTTACTTCAGTAAAAACTTGCTTTTCTTTATTTTTTTTATTTGTTTTATATGTCAAAACCTTACGTAGAAATAAATAAAATTAAAATTAAAAAGTTATTTTCTTAATTTTATTTTTTTCACTTGGTTATTTTAACCAAATTCTCCATTTTCTTGGTCGGCGTTGGTTTGATTTTTCCAAAAAAAAGGACGATGGCGGTTGGTGACCGAACCAAGGAAAATCGTCAGCTCATGCATTGTTTTCCTTCTTTTTTTTTTTTTTTTGGTCCTTTGGCTTGAAATTTGCACTACATCTTTAATTTCGATTCATTGGAAACAATATTTTAGGTATTCAGTTGAAGTTTGGTCGCTCAGTTTTTACTTGAAGCTATATCTAGGAGCAGTACTTTCTTCCCCTCAAAAATAATAATCAATTAAAAAAGAGCAGTACTTTCTTTCTTCTAGAATCTACACTATTGGCTTGTGACAATTAATCTTATATATTTTTTTAAACAAAAGGGTATATTAACACTGTTAGTGACTGAAAAAGAGCACTTGCTTCATTTGCTCTGTCTTCTGTTGAATATAGGTTTTGGCTTCAAGAATGCCCCTCTTGTATTAGTGACTGAAAAAGAGCACTTGCTTCAAGAAAAAAAAAGCTATTAATATCTGAATTTTGAGCGCAGTGACACTTTGATTACTGAGGGCGTGTTCTTTTTGAGTTAGGTGATTTGAGTGTAAATTTTAAGTTAAATTTAAGTTATAATTTAGGTTAAAATTGTAACTTAATTTTGTATTTAGTTGTGAGTTATGATTTGAGATAATAATCTTTTTAAGTTTGTGTTTGAATGAGTCAAAACTTGAATTTATATTTAGATAGTATTTTAATAAAAACTCAATGCTGATGAAAAATTTTAATAGGATATATATGTGGAATTTTATTCGTCTTTTCGTTATCAACACATAGAAAAAAAAGTTATCTCAATCAGAATTAAAATGAAAAAGTTATAACATTTTTAAGAATAAAAAAATACTGTTTATTAATTTGAATTCGAATTTCTGAACTCGAGTTGAAGGAAAAACTTGAACTCGAGTTTTAGTTTCAAACTCGAGTTCAAACTCGAGTTCAAATTTAAAAGAACATGAACTTGAATAAAGTTGTAATTCGAGTTGTTTTCGGTCCTTGAATTTTTAACAACTATAACTATGTTTTTATGACGTGACAACTTGAAAGAAAAACAAAACTCCACCTAAGCACATGGCCGTAGCCGAAGTGTACATATATGTACATATTTGGTCTTCTGGTATTTAGACATGCCATGGTCAGTATAGGTGTTCTCGTATTTCTTGTTTGGTTTCATCATATGTATATACGGGCATATATGTTGATATTCGAATTATTCAATATGCTTATTTTACTGCAACTACAATGGTTATGGATGTCCCCACTTGAATAAAATTCTTTAGTTGAACCTAACAAAAAGAAGAAACTTTGATCTGATTTACCACCATCATAGATGTCCCCAGTGGAATATAATCTTTTTAGATGGATGCAATCGGTGAGCACTGCTGACTGGGACTGTATGCCACGTGTAATCCTACGTGGCAGAATATCTAATCTGTAGTGTTTTGGTTTGAGGATTCAAAATTTTAGTTTAAACAATATTTTCTCTCATAAAAAATTTAAATTTAAAAAATTTTGCTAGTGTTTTTCTCTTACAGAATTTGAATTTAAATTCAAACTACTGGTTTGAACCCTCAAACCACACCAGCATTAAAGCAATGTGTCGCCTACAAGAAGAGTTTCACTTTAATATCAGCATATACAGATTCAATACTAAGAATGAAAAATTTCAGGAGTTCTTAGACGCATTTAGTGTTTTTGTCAGGAGCAATACTAAAGACTAAATTAAACAAGATAGCAGGGGAAAACCCTAGTGCAATACAGGGTACATTCACTTCATCTGGCGGCCGAATAACCCACCAAAAAAAAGGTCTTACAGAGCTGAGGAAGCTAAAGAAAAAATACGAAGACAGAAAATGAGAGAAAATAAAAAAACAATGGAATGCTTTTTACAACTTTCAAGCTGTCTTGAAGTAATACAACCCTCAAAAAGAGTGAGAAGGGGTAATAAATATATAATGAAAAAAAAAAAAAGGGGTTTACAAAAATGCGACGCTTAATCAAGCCAGCGTGTAATACCATCATCTTCCCCTGGTGCCGCCAGAATCTCGATGCTTACATCTAAAACAGCCTACAGTATGCATTAAAATAAGATGGTGAGAGAGCAACGTAAGAAAAGGCGGGAGAGGTTTGTTTTGTTTTGGTTTGTTTCCTTTTTTAACTCCCCAAAGACCAATGACACAACTCATAAGTCGCACTACTTGAAAAAGCAAAAAAAATCTCCTAGTAAGACTCCAACTCAGAGCGTCCAGATTTACAATTCATCCCAAAGTGGTGCCTCTAGACTAGGACAGGGCATAACATCTCTAGAATGATCATACAATGTGTTTCAATAATTTAACTAAGGTCACTTGGATTTAGAACACCTGAAATCACTTGAGCGGCACACTGTATAGCATGAAATAAGAAACAATAGAAAACTAGAAAGTAGTCCAGTTATTTCCTATAGGAAAAAAAAGATATAGTAAGATGTCCCCAGGGGGATTAGGAGACGACCTGTTCAATTTCCACATGGAAATTCTACGGTTAACTGTTCATGAACAGCCCACTGTGAGAGTATCACCCCTTACGAGGTGAGTAAGATACCTATTCTGAAGTAGCAAGAGTATCACACACATTTTTAAGACAGAAAGGAAAGGGAACACAAGCAAATTCCCATAGCATCATTTCCATGATTTCTAAAGGGAAGTTCCAACATGGGCAATTGACAGTCCCACTAAGAGATATCAGATATGAATCTTCTCGAGCCGAGAAAGGGATAAGATTAACTAGTAGTGACAGGATATGCAACCATAAAGCAGAATAAAGCAACTCACCATCGGATTTCTGCAGTTTACCAGCTTACACTCCTCAAGAGAACCTTCCAACATCCAACTCTCCCAAACATCAAAGCTGTGACTAGCAAACACAAATTCCATTCTTCTATTAATCTGCAATATAAAAACAGAGATAGTTTAGTGGTTGCACAACATGAAGCTTGATAATCGGACAGCCAGGCTGTCAGCTTTATAATAAATATTTTCTTTCTAAGCGCTTCAAGTTCTAGGAATTAGAATCCAAAAAACATTACCTAGAAAAGGAAAACAGTAATCAATAAGTAGTGAGCGCTACCAATTCAAATGCATTGTAATTTAAAATTACCTGCAATAATTTTCCACCAGCTGCAAATGATCGCAACCCAATAGTGTCCTAGACAAGTGCAATGATAATTTCATATCAGCTATCTGCTTTGAGAGAGAAACAACCCAACCACAAAAGCCACTATTAAAGATGAAATAGAGAATATATAAGTTACAGTGAGCAAACCTTGCTTCTGGATGCAACAAGAAATTGCGCTGCAGGATCCCTTTTCGTTACACCTGATATGGTATCTAGGAACCAGCCACCACCTTTAGCTCTTTGTCTCGAAACATGCAGAGCAAGGCGATCTCTTGCATATAAGGCAACAATATAGCCATCTTTTAACAGTTCACCCAGCTTCCCGCTAAGCTTCTTAATGGATTTTGAAAGCTGGCTGGAAGGTGATTCTTGAACTGATTCAATTGGTGTTTTCCTATTTCTTGAGTCTTCAGGGGATCCAAACCGAGAACTAGAACTCAAAGCCTGATCCGTTCCACTCATAGCAGTATCATCATCTCGATGTGAGGTACTCTCCTTTTCTAGGGCAGAAGGGTCGTCTGCTTTTTGCCAGGATTTTTGACGTGTGTGCCTCTTTTTCGCTTTCCTGCCAGATCTGCTTCGCCTTCCATCAGATCGGGTGGCAGTGGTTTGAGACACTCCTGAACCCTGGGGCTGCACAGGAGACTCTTTTGCATCAGTAGCTCCTTTGTTACGGGAGCTTTCTGGACTTACTTGAACAACATCTGTCAGCTTCTCACCAACAGAATCCTGCAAGGGAATTCCATCCTCTCCTTTATCGTATGCATCTTTTACATTACCTATTTCACTTGTTTCTTCTTCTTCTTCGTCGTCCTCATCAGAAACCGCATTTTTTGGAACAACTCCCTCAAAGAAGAATGTCTGCAATATGGAGATAGCTTTATCCCTAATCTCCATCCACACTTCTTCACTATAATCTGCACTATGTGGAAGTATCAAGACATTTGGCATTTCCTTTACCTGGAGAAAGGCATAGTTAGAAATTAAACTCGAATGCTTATTTTAACAAGATAATACGGAGCAGAAACACACAATTGACAAAGAACTGAAAAACTTTATATTTGTTGGTCCCAGCAAATAAAATAATCAGGATGACCTAAGCTGAACGAGGATGAAAGACAAAAGGGGAGAAAACTAGTTGGAAAAACTTAAGGCAGTTATTAAAGCAATTGTGCATGATTACAGATGAACAATACCGCCTTTAGCTTCTTAGAATAAATTTATAGTGTAGAACTAGTTGGCATACCCATGCTTCCATCCACTGAGGCCCTTCAGCACCATCCAGAGCACAACCAGCTAGGGTTCCATCAATTAGGAGCTGCTTGACCGCACAATCATCTAACAACTGGCTGCTTCCGGTATTTACAAGAAATGCCCCTTTAGAAGAAAGGGGAAATTAGTCCATAGGAAAGGGTTAAAATTAATATAACATAACAAACTGTGAAACAGTTCATTACCCAAGAACTCGAACAAAAGATTGAGAACAAAACACGTACCGGGCTTTATGTGTTGCAAGCATTCCGCATTTAGAATCTGAATCGTTTCATTTGTCAGAGCACAGTGAAGTGAAACAAGGTCACTCGCAGCGAGCAAGTCGTTAAGAGTGTCCATTCTTCGGGCAGCTGAAGGAAAGGTTATTTTAGACCTCTTCACATTTCCATCCCCCTGTGAGAATGTGTATCACGAAAAATTCAACTTAGAATAAAACTAATTTCAAAAAAAAAAAAAAAAGTGTTATCAACAACATACATACAGCACAGAAAGGCCTAAATATGCAGGTCAATCTGCAGTTAATGACTATAAACATGATAAAAATGAATACTGTCAGAAAGCCCACTGACCAAATTGGACTTCTAACTATAGTTCAAATTTAAGAAGAGCAGAAAAGATTAGTCATTTCTCTAACTTTAACAGATATATAACCGAAGCAATTGAGCTTGATGTCAACAATGCATAACCTTTCACATAGGATTTTCGTCAAATAGAGTCATTTTTCAACTCTGACACGACAATCCCAATGAAAAGACATTATTCTCACATTTTTATGCGATTCATGCATCATACAGATTGTATATACGCTTTAAACTGCTTAAATTGAATTTGCGAAATCCAAATGAAGCACATTTTCAGCAAATTGAGAAAATTTACAATCATTTCATCGAAGATTCTGTTAATTTTGGGAATGTAAAAACAAAACTCTGAAGAATGATTACCTCTTGAACATCAAAGTAGAGCACGCTCATCTTGAAAGCCAAGCTCCGAGAAGCCAGAGACCGCGCCGAAACAGATCTACCGACAATCCCCAAGACGAGGCCACGGCAGCGCCTCATCCCTCGGCAGAGCGGCTGCACTGAACCAAGCCAACCGGAGGCGGAGAGCGCATGGCGGGAGAGGAGGTGCGTCCGGCGGAGCAGGCCGAGGATGAGTGCCATGACGGTGTCGGCGATCTCCTCGGCGCGGGAGGCGTCGACATGGACGAGGCGGAGGCCGAGGTCGGAGGCGAGGGCGGAGTCGACGGAGCGGTTTGGGAGGAGAACGGCGGCGGCGGACTCGATCTTCCCGTCGGCGAGGCGTGCGAGGGGAACGTGCTCGACGGCGGCGACGCCGGCGAGGGATTCCTGCTCGAGGGCGCAATCTTCGATGCAGTTGAGGGAGACGACCAAGGGAAGGGAAGGCGCAGGGTTGCTGCGGTGGTGCATTGCCGCAGAGGATCTGTTCCTTGCGCCGCTCATCGACGTCGTCGTTTTGAGTTCTCCGACGGTTAGAAGGGAGAGGGAGAGAGTGAGAGAGTGAAGTGAGTTTTGGTTTTCACTGGTTTCTGATTCGTTCGTTGTTGGAAATGAGGGGCTAGGGTTTATTGTCGTAATTTCGGGGGCTTACAGGTGACTGAATCGGAATTCCAGAAGTTTCAACGGCTGGCAGTTGGGTTCCGGTGAGATGTCGTTTTTTGCGTTATTGGAGGCCCCGTCCCGTCTCCTGTCTGCCCTTGAGGGAAGAGGAAGGTTCAAACTTCAACTAGGAGTATCTTTTTGCTGGGATTCGGTTCTAGGCTCTGTATTGGGTTTTCACTCCCTCTCTACCATAATGCTCCTGTAATTGCTGTTAATTACGATCATGTCCCGCAATTTGTCCTTTTTTGTTTTTGTTTTAATTAAACCCCACAACTGGTAATCTTTTCTTGCTGTCAACATATTCAAAATCCTAGGATTGTGGGGGTAGCGGTGCTTATTTATCTTTTGCCTCTCCAAATTTTAAAAATAAAAACGATTACGTATATTGGCGCCTTTTGCAGTTTGCTACAATATCTTTTGCCTCTCCAAAACATAAATAAAATGGAAAGGCAATTAAAAAACAAGAGTTTTCCTTATGTTTGGCTCAATCTATTCTACATTCATTGCAGGGACATACAATCCCTAGTCAAATCCACTATTGAAAAATTAGTACACGCTCGAACTTTCAACTAGACCAGAAGATCTCCTTCTATAGTCGACCATCACTCAGTTTCTCATTTTCTTAAGAAACAAACACTCATCCAATAAATCTTCAAATACAAATGCAGAGAATTCTCTCTCAGTATCTAGTACTCAAAAAGTTACTAATAATTCCTAACAGACTTAATCCTCTCACATTATATAGTGCATCACAGAGCCTATAATAACTAGACACCTAACAGTCTTTTGTAACGACTAATCACTACAAAACTGTAGTCTTGTAGCAACTAATTTTTTAACAAACTCCCTTTCACTCGTATCTAAAATAATTAATTCGAGACATATTCTTCACAGTTAGGATGTTTTATTATATTATATCATGTGTTGTTTATTATCGTGAGTAATTGGTATATATAGTCTCAAAATTTTTTAGCATGTAACATTATAGTCCATATTTTTTTAATCTTGGTAAAATACCTTATAAACTCGTCAATCAGGTATAATTTACACTATAATGTAAAATTTTATTGAGTTTTTAACATAATGTACCATGTGCAAAGCATGTGATCTATTATTATATGGTATTTAGGTAAAAAAAAATTACATTTTAATAAAAAATTATAATTAAAAATCAAAGCAAAGGAATTTATACTGAATTACAAGAGGTTTCTAGTGAGAGAATTTCAGAGAGCGGGGAAGAAGGAGAATAGTCCTGCCGGCTATTGGAAGCGCGTCTCCGGTCAGCTGGCCCCCAAAATACACCCACGCGTTCTACATTGGCCGATCTACATGATGGTGGAGTCCGTGTTGGTGTTTTCTTCTCTTTTTTTAGTTGTTCGTGGAATAAAGATAGTTTTTTACCGATGTTGGTGCTTGTTTTCTCCCACAAATCACTAGATTTGTGTGGGCTTTGGTTTTTTTATTTTATTTTTAGTTGTGTTCCCCCACTAAGCTATAAACTTGTGTGGGTTTGTGTTTTTTTTTTTTTTTTTATATGTCTTTAGCTAAATCTCTCGTTTTGGCAAGCTTAATTTGGAAGAATGTTGACTTTTAGAGATCAGTCTTTATAGAGAGTTTACTACAGTCTTTTTGGAGAGCTAACCATAGAGGAAGAATTAAACGAGCCAAAAGAAGTGTTTTAAATTGTGTCCATTATCGAATGTTGGATCTCTATACTAAGACGCCAACGAATCTATTAATTTTAATTTGTTGTATCAAGTTTTCTATATTGAGTTCTCTGTGAGTTTGATAGTTTGTTGATTAATGAAATGTTTTTTGCATTAAAAAAAATCAAAGCAAAGGGGAAAAGGGAAAGCTTTCTGTTGGAAATTCGGATTTGGGAGGATGAAAAGAATAGAGAATTCAGAAAGAAGGGTTTGAGGCGTATAGGAATACTTTCCTTTAAGGTTTTATTTGCCCTCACTTCTCAAAGTTTGCTAACGAGTTCTAAATGGCAAATTACCCCCAAGATACAACAAACCCTTGAACACAATATCCAGCAAAAATATTGAGTTCCGGAACAATTAATGTTAATCTGTATTTTCTGAAGTCCATCATATAAAGACAGAGATGCATCCATCCTCTTTAAGTGTTACAACCTTTCACATAAAGATACCTTTTCAATTTGATGGTTATCTTTTATATGCTGATGCACTTATAACAATAGTTATTTCTATTGTTAATAAGTGCTCAGATATGTGAGAAAACATATCACAAATAGATGCAATGGTTCGAGACCTTTTCAGATCACTAAAACACACGAACACATTTTCCGTTGAAGATTTGCGCTGCAGCGCACGCTGTTGTGCGCTGCAGCACGCGTGCCTAGCAAAACAGACCCGAGAGGTCTGTTTTACGCAGGCTGCAGCGCCCAAACGCGCGCTGCAGCGCACGTTGCTGTGCGCTGCATCGCGCGTGCCTAGCAAAACAGACCCGAGAGGTCTGTTTTGCGCAAGCTGCAGCACCCAAACGCGCTGCAGCACGTCCGTGCGCTGCAGCGCGCACTCTTTCGCGCTGCAGCAAGTGCTTGCGTCAGCCTACTCTTCCCGAATGTGTTTTAATCCAATTTTGTGATATCAAGATTGAGAGATATATGACAATCTCTACAATCCCCCACTAGATTGTAATATTTTTTCAGAATTAACAACGATAAACACATACATACATGAAGGTATCTTTCGATTGTAACCTTTACTTAGTGACTATACTTCAAAGTATTCACAAGACAATAGTGTGCTTTGCATTAAACTTTGTCTCTTAAGCAAATACCGGAAATATATCACATATGTGTTATCCCAGATTTCAAAACTGTTCCAATTGTTTAGCACTATTCCGGCCTTGTGCTCTATCTTGGATTCATGAACATTTATAAGACTAAACCAAGGTCTTGTTAGGAACGGCACCATTCCTCATGTTCACTTAGGTGAAGTTCTAATTATATCTCTAGCTACTAAGAGAATCGAACTTCATTAAGAGTTAAAACTCTACCTCAACCACGTAGCTATTTTTGCACCGATATCCTGGAAGGGACTAATTAAAGTTCGGTGCTAACCCGGTCACATAACAATAATTTGTTCTTACCCATTTAACTATGGAATAGCGGTACAACTATTACATAGTTGGGTTACCATCATTGGTGACTCTTTCAAAGAAAGGTTTCAGTCCCATTCCACTAGATGTTTCTTTAACTAAGTCTCTTGAAAGACCTTTTGTCAAAGGATCCGCTAGGTTCTTGTTTGTCCTAACATAAACAATATTAATAACACCATCGGTTATTAATTGTTTAACATATTCATGTCTCAAGCTAATATGTCTAGATTTACCATTATAAACCTTGTTATAAGCTCTAGACAAAGTAGCTTCACTATCACAGTACAAAGAAATAGATGGCATCGGTTGTGGCCACAACTCAATATCAAACAA